GAAAAGAAAAAGAATGAAAGAATAAAAAGAATGAAAGAAAGAAAGGAAAAGAATGGAAGAATAGAATGAAAGAATGGAAAAAAAATGAAAGAATAAATGAAAGAAAGAAAGAAAAAAGAATGAAAAGAATGAAGAATGAAAAGAAGAAAAAGAATGGAAGAAACGTAAATGAATGAAAGAAAGAAAAAAAAAAAGAATGAAGAATGGAAAGAAGAATGGGAGAAAAAGAAGAAAGAAAAAAAAAAAAAGAAAAAAAAAGAATGAAAAGAATGGAATGAAAGAAAGAAAGAAAAAGAATGGAAGAAGACGTAAAAGAATGAAAGAAAAAGAAAGAATGGAAAAAATGGAAAAGAGAAAGAATGAAAGAAAAAGAAAAAAGAATGGAAAGAAAAGAATGAAAAAAAAAAATGGAATGAAGAATGGAAGATAGAATGAAAGAAAGAAAAAAAAAGAATGAAAGAAAAGAATGAAAAAAGAAAGAAAAAAGAATGGAATATAGAATGGAAAGAAAGGAAGAAAAAATGGAAAGAAAGAAAAAAAGAATACGTTCAAGAATGGAAAGAAAGAAAAAAGAATGGAAGAAAAAGTAAAAGAAAAAGAAAGAAAAAAAAGAATGAAAGAATGGAAGTAGAATGAAAGAAAGAAAAAAGAATGAAAGAATACGTTCATGAAAGAAAGAAAAAAGAATGAAAGAATACGTTCATGAAAGAAAGGAAGAAAGAAAAAAGAATGAAAGAAAAAAATAAAAGAATGGAAAAAAGAATGGAAGATAGAATGAAAGAAAGAAAAAAAAAAGAATGTTCGCGAAAAGAAAGAAAGAATAAAAGAATGGAATGAAAGAAAAAAAAAGAATGAAAGAATGGAAGATGAAAAAAAGAAAGAAAAAAAGAATAAAAGAATGGAATGAAGAATAAAAGAAAGAAAAAAAGAATGAAAGAAAGAATAAAAGAATGAAAGAAAGAAAAAGAATGGAATGAAAAAGAATGGAAGAATGGAAATGGAAAGAAAGAAAAAAAGAATGGAAGAAAAAGAATGAAAGAAATGGAAAGAAAAAAGAAAGGAAGAATGGGAGAATGAAAGAAAAAAAAGAAAAAAGAATGAAAGAAAAGAATGAAAGAATGGAAAAAAGAATGAAAGAATAGAATGAAAGAAAGAAAAAAAGAATGGAAGAAAGAAAGAAAAAGAATGGAAAAAGAATAAAATGAAAGAAAGAAAGAAAAAAAGAATGAAAGAAAGAAGAATGAAAGAAAGAAAGAAAAAAGAATGAAAGAATACGTGCATGAAAGAAAGAAAGAAAAAAGAATGGAAGAATAGAATGGAAGAAAGAAAAAAGAATGGAAAAAAGAATAAAAGAATGGAATGAAAGAAAGAAAAAAGAATGGGAGAATGGAAGAAACGTAAAAGAAAGAAGAAAGAAAAAAGAATGGAATGAAGAATGGAAAAAGAAGAAAAGAATGTAAAAGAAAGAAAAGAAAAAGAATGAAATGAAGAAAATGGAAGAAAGAAAAAAAATGAATGAAAGAATAAAAGAATGGAAGAAAGAAAAAAAAAGAATGGAAGAAAGAAAAAGAAAGAAAGAAAAAAATGAAAAGAAGAAAAAAGAAAAGAAAAAAAAGAATGGAAAGAATACGTGGATGAAAAAAGAAAGAAAAAAAAAGAATGGAAGAATAAGAAAAGAAAAAGAAAAAAATGAAGAAGAATGGAAGAAAGAAAGAAAAAGAATGGAAGAAAATGGAAAAAAGAATAAAAAAGAAAAAAAGAAAGAATGAAAGAAAGAATGAAAAAGAATGAAAGAATGGAAGAAAGAAAGAAAAAAGAATGGAAGAAAGAATAAAAAGAAAAGAAAGAAAAAGAATGAAAGAATAGTTCATGAAAGAAAGAGAAAAAAAAAGAATAAAAGAATGGAATGAGAATGAAAGAAAGAAAAAAAAAAAAAATGGAAGAAAGAATACAAAAAAAGAAAAGAATAAAAGAAAAGAAAAGAAAAAAAAAGAATGAAAGAAAAGAATAAAAAGAATGGGGAAAAAGAATAAAAGAAGAAGAATGAAAGAAAGAAAAGAATGAAAGAAAGAAAAGAGAAAAAAGAAAAAAAAAGAATAAAAGAATGGAATGAAGAATGAAAGAAAGAAAAAAAGAATGGAAGAAAAGAGTTCATGAAAGAAAGAAAAAAAAGAATAAAAGAATGGAATGAAGAAAGAAAGATAAAAAGAATGGAAAAGAATAAGAATAAAAGAAAGAAAGAAAAAAGAAAAGAATAAAAGAATGGAAGAAATGAAAGAAAAAAATGAAAGAAAAGAATAAAAGAAAAAGAAAGAAAAAAAAAAGAATGAAAGAATGGAAGAAAGAAAGAAAGAAAAAAAGAATGAAAGAAAGAGAATGAAGAATGAAAGAAAAAGAATGAAAGAATAGAATGAAAGAATGAAAGAAAAGAAAAAAAGAATGGAAGAAAGAATAAAAGGAAATGAAAGAAAGAAAGAAAAAAATGGAAGAAGGAAAAGAATGAAAAAGAAAAAAGAAAAAGAAGAAAAGAATAAATGAAAGAAAGAAAGAAAAAGAATGAAAGAATACGTTCATGAAAGAAAGAAAAAAAAGAAAAAAAGAAAAGAAAGAAGAATGGAAGATAGAAAAGAATGAAGAAAGAAAAAAGAATGAAAGAATACGTTCATGAAAGAAAGAAAGAAAAAAGAATGGAAGAAGAAAGAATAAAAAAAGAAAGAAAAAAGAAGAATGAAAAGAAAGAAAGAAAAAAGAATGGAAGAATACGTTCATGAAAGAAAGAAAGAAAAAAGAATGAAAGAATACGTTCATGAAAGAAAGAAAGAAAAAAGAATGAAAGAAACGTTCATGAAAGAAAGAAAGAAAAAAGAATGAAAGAATACGTTCATGAAAGAAAGAAAGAAAAAAGAATGAAAGAATAAGAATGGAAAGAAAGAAAGAAAAATGAATGAAAAGAATAAAAGAATGAAAGAAGAAAAAGAATGGAATGAAAGAATGGAAAAAAGAATGAAAGAATGGAAGAAAGAAAGAAAAAAAGAATGAAAGAATAAAAGAATGAAAAAAAAAGAATGGAAGAAAGAAAGAAAAAAAAATGAAAGAAAACGAATGAAAGAAAGAAAGAAAAAAGAATGGAAAGAATAAATGGAAGAAAGAAAGAAAAAGAATGAAAGAAACGTTCATGAAAAGAAAAAAGAATAAAAAAGAATGAAGAAGAAATAGAATGAGAATGAAAGAAAAAGAAAAAAAGAATGGAAGAAAACGTTAATGAAGAAAAGAAAGAAAAAAGAATGAAAGAATACGTTAATGAAAGAAAGAAAGAAAAAAAGAATGAAAGAAGAATAAAAGAAAAGAAATGAAAGAATGGAAAGAAAAAAAAGAATGGAAGAATACGTAAAAGAATGAAAGAAAAAAAAAAAGAATGGAAAGAAAATGGATGAAAGAAAGAAAAAAAAAGAATGAAAGAAAAAAAATGAAAGAAAGAATAAAAAAAAGAATGAAGAAGAATAAAAAAGAAGAAAAGAAAGAAAAAAGAATAAAAAGAATACGTTCATGAAAGAAAGAAAAGAAAAAAGAATGGAAGAAAAAGAATAAAAAGAATGGAAAAAAAAGAATGAAAGAATGGAATGAAGAATGAAAGAAAGAAAAAAGAATGGAAGAAGAATAAAATGAATGAAAGAAAGAAAAAAAGAATGGAAAGAATGGAAGATAGAATGAAAGAAAGAAAGAAAAAAAGAATGAAAGAAACGTTCATGAAAAAAGAAAGAAAAAGAAAAGAATGGAAGAAAAAAAAAAAAAAGAATGAAAGAAAAAGAAAGAATGGAAAAAAGAATGGAAAGAATGGGAGAAAGAAAGAAAGAAAAAAGAATGGAAGAATACGTTCATGAAAGAAAGAAAAAAATGAAAGAATACGGGAAAGAAAAGAAAAAGAATGGAAGAAAAGAATAAAAAAGAATGAATGAAAGAAAGAAAAAAGAATGAAAGAATACGTTCATGAAAGAAAGAAAGAAAAAAGAATGAAAGAATACGTTCATGAAAGAAAGAAAGAAAAAAGAATGAAAGAATACGTTCATGAAAGAAAGAAAGAAAAAAGAATGAAAGAATAAGAATGAAAAAAGAAAAAAAAGAATGGAAGAATACGTTAAAAGAAAGAAAAAAAAGAATGGAAAGATGGAATTCAAGAATGGAAAAAAAAAAAAATGGAAAAAGAATAAAAGAATGAAAAAAAGAATGAAGAATAGTTCATGAAAGAATGGAATGAAAAAAGAATGGAAAAAGAATGGAATGGAAAGAAAAAAAGAAAGAATGAAAGAATGGAAAGAAAAAAAAAGAAAGAATAAAAAGAATGTTCATGAAAGAAAGAAAGAAAAAGAATGGAAGAAACGAATGAAAGAAAGAAAAGAAAAAAAGAATGGAAGAAACGTGGAAGAAAGAAAGAAAGAGAAAAGAATGAAAGAATAAAAGAATGAAAGAAAGAAAAAGAAAAAGAATGGAAGAAGAATGGAAGAAAGAATGGGAAAAAAAAGAATGAAAGAATACGTTCATGAAAGAAAGAAAGAAAAAAGAATGAAGAATGGAAGAATAGAATGAAAGAAAAAGAAAGAAAAAAAGAATGGAAAGAATAGAATGAAAGAAAGAAAGAAAAAAGAATGAAAGAATAGAATGAAAGAAAGAAAAAAAAGAATAAAAGAATACGGAAGAAAGAAAGAAAAAAAAAGAATGAAAGAATAGAATAGAATGAAAGAAAGAAAGAAAAAAAGAATGAAAGAAAGAATAAAAGAATGAAAGAAGAAAAGAAAAAGAATGAAAGAATAATGAAAGAAAGAAAAGAAAAAGAAAAAAAAGAATGGAAGAATGAAAGAAAGAAAGAAAAAAGAATGGAAAGAATACGAAAGAATAAAAGAAAAGAAAAAAAAAGAATGAAAGAATACGTGGGAATGAAAGAAAAAAAAAAAGAATGAAAGAATACGTTCATGAAAGAAAGAAAGAAAAAAGAAAGAATACGTTCATGAAAGAAAGAAAGAAAAAAGAATGAAAGAATACGAAGATAGAATGAAAGAAAGGAAGAAAAAAAAAAGAATGGAAGAAAGAATAAAAGAATGGAAGAAAGAAAGAAAGAAAAAGAATGAAAGAATACGTGGAAGAAAAAAAAAAAAAAAGAAAAAAAGAATGGAAAAGAAAAAAGAATAAAAGAATGGAATGAAAGAAAGAAAGAAAAAAGAATGAAAAAGAATACGTTCATAAAAAGAATGAAAGAAAGAAAAAAAGAATGGAAAGAATAAAGAATGGAAAAGAAAAAAGAATGGAAGAAGAATGAAAGAAGAAAAAAGAATGAAAAAAGAATGAAGAAAGAAAAAAAAGAATGGAAGAATACGTTCATGAAAGAAAGAAAGAAAAAAGAATGAAAGAATACGTTCATGAAAGAAAGAAAGAAAAAAGAATGGAAGAATACGTTCATGAAAGAAAGAAAGAAAAAAGAATGGAAGAATACGTTCATGAAAGAAAGAAAAAAAAGAAGAAGAATGGAAAGAAAGAAAAGAAAAAAAGAATGAAAGAAAAGAAAAAGAATAAAAGAATGGAAAAGAAAAAGAATGGAAGAATACGAAGAAAGAAAAGAAAGAAAAAAGAATAAAAAGAATGGATGAAAGAAAAAAAAAAAAGAAAAAAGAATGGAAGAATACGTTCATGAGAAAAGAAAAATAAAAGAAAAAAGAATAAAAAAGAATGGAATGTTCATGGAAAGAAAGAAAAAAAAGAATGAAAATAGAATGAAAGAAAGAAAGAAAAAGAATGGAATGGAAGAAAGAATGGGAAATGGAAGAAGAAAAAAAGAATGAATGGAAAAAGAATGAAATGAAGAATGGAAGAAAGAAAGAAAAAAAAGAATGGAAGAAGAATGGAAGAAAGAATGAAAGAAAGAAAAAAAAGAATGGAAAAGAATAAAAGAATGAAAAGAAAGAAAGAAAAAAGAATGAAAGAATAAGAATGGAAAGAAAGAAAAAGAAAGAAAAAGAAAAAAGAATGGGAGAATGAAAGAAAAGAAAGAAAGAAAAAAGAATGAATAAAATAATTCATGAAGAAGAAAAAAAAGAATGAAAGAATACGTAAATGAATGAAAGAAAGAAAAAAGAATGGAAGAATAAAGAAAGAAAGAAAGAAAAAAAAAAAGAATGAAAAAGTTGGAAGAAAAAAAAAATGGAAAAAGAATGGAAGAATAGAATGAAAGAAAGAAAGAAAAGAATGGAAAAGAATGGAAGAAAGAAAGAAAGAAAAAAGAATGGAAAGAATAAGAATGAAGAATGGAAAGAGAAAAGAAAGAAAAAAAAGGAAAGAATACGAATCAAGAAAGAAGAAAGAAAAAGAATGGAAGAAAGAGTAAAAAGAATGAAAGAAAGAAAAAGAATGGAAAGAAGAATCATGAAAAGAATGGAAAAGAAAGAAAAAAGAATGAAGGAAGAAAGAATGAAAAAAAAAGAATGGAAGAAAAAGAATAAAAGAATGGAAGAAAGAAAAAAGAAAGAAAAAAGAATGAAAGAATACGAAATAAAAGAAAGAAAGAAAAAAGAATGAAAAAAGAATGGAAGAAAGAAAGAAAAAAAAAGAATAAAAGAATGGAAGAAAGAATAAAAAAGAATGGAAAAAAGAATGAAAGAAAGAGAATGGAAGAAACGTAAAAGAATGAAAGAAAGAAAAAAGAATGGAATGAAGAATGGAAGAAAGAATGGGAGAAGAAAAAAAAAAAAGAAAGAAAGAAAAAAGAATGGAATGAAGAATGGAAAGAAAGAAAAAAAGAAAAGAATAAAAGAATGGAAGAAAGAGAAAAAAGAATGGAAGAAAGAATGGAAGAAAGAAAGAAAAAGAATGGAAGAATAGTTCATAAAAGAAAAGAAAAGAAAAAAGAATGGAATGAAGAATGGAAAAGTTCATGAAAGAAAGAAAAAAAAAAAGAATGAAAGAATAAAAGAAAGAAAAGAAAAGAAGAAAAAAATAAAAGAAAGAATAAAAGAATGAAAGAAAGAAAAAAAAGAATGAAGAAGAAAGAAAAGAAATGAAAAGAAAGAAAGAAAAAAGAATGGAAAAGAATAAATGAAAGAAAGAAAGAAAAAAGAATGGAAGAAAGACGTAAATGAAAGAAAGAAAGAAAAAGAAAAAAGAATGGAATGGGAGAATGAGAAAGAAAGAAAAAAGAAAAAAGAATGGAAGAATGAAAATGGAAAGATAGAATGGGAGAAAGAAAAAGAGTAAAAGAATGGAAGAAAGAATAAAAGAAATGAAAAAGAATGGAAGAAGAATGAAGAAAAAAAAAGAAAAAGAAAGAAAAAAGAATGGAAAGAAGAATGGAAGAAAGAAAGAAAGAAAAAGAAAAAAAGAATACGTTCATGAAAGAATAAAAGAATGGAAGAAAAAGAATGGAAGATAGAATGAAAGAAAGAAAGAAAAAAAAGAATGGAAGAAAAGAATAAAAGAATGGAAAAAAGAATGGAAGATAGAATGGGAGAATGAAAGAAAAAAAAAAAGAATGGAAGAAAAGAATAAAAGAATGGAAAGAAAGAATGGAAGAAAGAATAAAAGAATGAAAGAAGAAAAAAAAAAAAATGGAAGAAAGAATAAAAGAATGGAAAGAAAGAAAAAAATGGAAAGAATGGAAGAAAGAATAAAAGAAAGAAAAAGAATAAAAGAATGGAATGAAGAAAGAAAGAAAAAAAGAATGGAAGAAATAATAAAAGAATGGAAGAAAGAAAAAAGAATGGAAGAAGAATGATAGAATGGGAAAGAAAAAAGAAAAAAAAGAATAAAAGAATGGAAAAGAATGGAAGAAGAATGGGGGAAAAAAGAAAAGAAAGAATAAAAGAATGGAAGAAGAATGGAAGAAAGAATGGAAAGAAAAAGAATAAAAGAATGAAAAAATGGAAGAAAGAAAAAAAGAATGGAAAAAGAAAAAAGAATGGAAAGAAAGAAAGAAAAAAGAATGGAAAGAAACGTAAAAGAATGGAAGAAAGAATAAAAGAAAAAAGAATGGAAAGAAGAATGGAAGAGAAAGAAAGAAAAAAAAGAATGAAAGAAAGAAAAAAAATGGAAGAAAGAAAAAAAAAAAGAAAGAAAAAGAATGGAAGAAAGAGATAAAAGAATGGAAGAAAGAATAAAAGAAAGAAAGAAAAAAGATAAAGAGAATGGAAGAAAAGTAAATGAAAGAAAGAAAAAAAATGGAAGAAAGAATAAATGGGGAAATGGAAAAAAAAAGAATGGAAGAAGAATGGAATGAAGAATGGAAGAAAGAAAAAGAATGAAAGAAAGAAAAAGATGGAAAGAAAGAATAAAAGAATGGAAGAAAGAATGAAAGAAAGAATGGAAAATGGAATGAAAGAATAAAAGAATGGGAAAAAGAATAAAAAAATGGAATGAAGAATGGAAGATAGAAAGAAGAAAAGAAAAAAAAAAAAAGAAAGAATAAAAGAATGGAATGAAGAATGGAAGATAGAATGGGAGAATGGAAGAAAGAGTAAAAGAATGGAAGAAAGAATAAAAGAATGGAATGAAGAATGGAAGAAAGAATAAAAGAATGGAAGAAAGAATAAAAGAATGGAATGAAGAATGGAAGATAGAATGGGAGAATGGAAGAAAGAGTAAAAGAATGGAAGAAAGAATAAAAGAATGGAATGAAGAATGGAAGATAGAATGGGAGAATGGAAGAAAGAGTAAAAGATGAAAGAAAGAAAAAAAAGAATGGAAGAAGAATGGAAGATAGAATGGGAGAATGGAAAAAAAGAATGGAAGAAAGAATAAAAGAATGGAATGAAGAATGGAAGATAAAAGAAGAAAGAATAAAAGAATGGAAGAAAGAAAGAAAAGAAAAAAGAATGGAAGAATGGAAGAAAATAAAAGAAAAAAGAAAAAAGAATGGAAGAATGGAAGAAAGAATGGAAGAATGGAAGAAAATGTAAAAGAATGGAAGAAAGAAAAAAGAATGGAATGAAGAATGGAAGAAAGAAAGAATGGAAAAAAGAAGAAAAAGAATGGAAGAAAGAATAAAAAGAATGGAATGAAAGAATGGAAAAGAATGAAAGAATGGAAGAAAAAAGAAAAAAAAGAATGGAAGAAAGAATAAAAGAATGGAATGAAGAATGAAAAAGAAAGAATGGGAGAATGGAAGAAAGAAAAAAAAAAGAATGGAAGAAAGAATAAAAGAATGGAATGAAAGAATGGAAGATAGAATGGAAGAATGGAAGAAAGAGTAAAAGAATGGAAGAAAGAAAAAAGAATGGAATGAAGAAGAAGATAGAATGGGAGAAGAAAGAAAAAAAAAGAATGGAAGAAAGAATAAAAGAAGAAAGAAAGAATGGAAGAAGAATGGGAGAATGGAAGAAAAGAAAGAATGGAAGAAAGAATAAAAAGAATGGAATGAAGAAAAAAAGAATGGGAGAAAAAGAAAAGAAAAAAGAATGGAAGAAAAGAATAAAAGAATGGAAGAAAAGAAAAGATAGAATGGGAAATGGAAGAAAGAATAAAAGAATGGAAGAAAGAAAAAAAAAGAATGGAATGAAGAATGAAAGATAGAATGGGAGAATGGAAGAAAAAAAAAGAATGGAAGAATGGAATGGAAAAAAGAATGGAAAAAGAATGAGAAGAAGAAAGAAAAAAGAATGGAAAAATAAAAAGAATAAAAGAATGGAATGAAAGAAAGAAAAAGAATGGAAGAAGAATGGGAGAAAAAAGAAAAGAAAAAAAGAATGGAAGAAAAGAATGAAAAAAGAATGGAATGAAGAATGGAAGATAGAATGGGAGAATGGAAGAAAGAGTAAAGAATGAAAGAAAGAATAAAAGAATGGAATGAAGAATGGAAATAGAATCATGAGAAAAGAAAGAAAAAAAGAATGGAAGAAAGAATAAAAGAATGGAATGAAGAATGGAAGATAGAATGAGAATGGAAGAAAGAGTAAAAGAATGGAAAAAGAAGAAAAAGAATGGAATGAAGAATGAAGAAAGAATAAAAGAATGGAAGAAAATAAAAAGAATGGAAGAAAGAATAAAAGAATGGAATGAAGAATGGAAGATAGAATGGGAGAATGGAAGAAAGAAAAAAAGAATGGAAGAAAGAATAAAAGAAAGAAAAAGAATGGAAGAAAGAATGGGAGAATGGAAGAAAGAAAAAAAGAATGGAAGAAAGAATAAAAGAATGGAATGAAGAAAGAAAGAAAGAATGAGAATGGAAGAAAGAAAAAAAATGGAAGAAAGAATGGAAGAAAGAAAGAAAGAATGGAAGAAAAGAAAAGAATGGAAGAAAAGAAAGAAAGAAAAGAGAAGAAGAAAAAGAATGGGAAGAATGGAAGAAAGAGTAAAAGAATGGAAGAAAAGAAAAAAAGAATGGAATGAAGAATGAAGATAGAATGGGAGAAAGAAAGAAAGAAAAAAGAATGGAAGAAAGAAAAAAGAAAAAAGAAGAAGATAGAAAAGAATGAAGAAAGAAAAAGAATGGAAAAAGAATAAAAGAAGAAAAGAATGGAAGATAAAAAGAATGGAAGAAAGAGTAAAAGAATGGAAGAAAGAAAAAAAGAATGGAATGAAGAATGGAAGATAGAATGGGAGAATGGAAGAAAGAATAAAAGAATGGAAGAAAGAAAAAAAGAATGGAAAAAGAATGGAAGAAAATGGGAGAATGGAAGAAAAATAAAAAGAATGGAAGAAAGAATAAAAGAATGGAATGAAGAATGGAAGATAGAATGGGAGAATGGAAAAAGAATAAAAGAATGGAAGAAAGAAAAAAGAATGGGAATGAAGAATGGAAGATAGAATGGGAGAATGGAAGAAAGAGTAAAAGAATGGAAGAAAGAAAGAAAAAAGAATGGATGAAAAGAAGAATGGAAGATAGAATGGGAGAATGGAAGAAAGAAAAAAGAATGGAAGAAAGAATAAAAGAATGGAATGAAGAATGGAAAGAAAAAGAATGGAAGAAAGAGAAAAAAAGAAAAAAAGAAAAAGAATGGAAGAAAGAAGAAAATGGGAATGGAAGAAAATAAAAGAATGAAGAAAGAATAAAAGAAGAATGAAGAATAAGAGAATGGGAAAGAAAGAAAGAGTAAAAGAATGGAAGAAAAGAATAAAAGAATGGAAAAAAGAATGGAAGATAGAATGGGAGAATGGAAGAAAAGAAAGAAAAAGAATGGAAGAAAGAATAAAAATGAATGGAATGAAGAAAATGGAAGATAGAATGGGAGAATGGAAGAAAGAGTAAAAGAATGGAAGAAAGAAGAAAAAAGAATGAAGAATGAAGAATGGAAGAGAAAGAATAAAAGAATGGAAGAAAGAATAAAAGAATGGAAAAAAGAAAAAAGAATGGGAGAAGAATGGAATGAAAGAATGGAAGAAAGATAGAATGGGAGAATGGAAGAAAGAATAAAAGAATGGGAGAAAGAATAAAAGAATGGAATGAAGAATGGAAGATAGAATGGGAGAATGGAAGAAAGAGTAAAAGAATGGAAGAAAGAATAAAAGAATGGAATGAAGAATGGAAGATAGAATGGGAGAATGGAAGAAAGAGTAAAAGAATGGAAGAAAGAATAAAAGAATGGAATGAAGAATGGAAAAAGAATGGAAGAGTAAAAGAAGAATAAAAGAATGGAATGAAAAAAGAATAGAAGAATGGAAGAAAGAATGGAAGAAAGAATAAAAGAATGGAATGAAGAATGGAAGATAGAATGGGAGAATGGAAGAAAGAGTAAAAGAATGGAAGAAAGAATAAAAGAATGGAATGAAGAATGGAAGATAGAATGGGAGAATGGAAGAAAGAATAAAAGAATGGAAGAAAGAATAAAAGAATGGAATGAAGAATGGAAGAAAGAATAAAAGAATGGAAGAAAGAATAAAAGAATGGAATGAAGAATGGAAGATAGAAAAGAATGGAAGAAAGAGTAAAAAAGAATGGAAAAAGAATAAAAGAATGGAATGAAGAATGGAAGATAGAATGGGAGAATGGAAGAAAGAATAAAAGAATGGAAGAAAGAATAAAAGAATGGAATGAAGAATGGAAGATAGAATGGGAGAATGGAAGAAAGAATAAAAGAATGGAAGAAAGAATAAAAGAATGGAATGAAGAATGGAAGATAGAATGGGAGAATGGAAGAAAGAGTAAAAGAATGGAAGAAAGAATGAAGAGCAATCAAATAGTAATAGCAGTTTTGACAATAATAGGAAAAGAAATAAAATGTGAAATACGGATAAGAAATAAATAAAAAACTTCACTGTTAAAAATAGTTCGTTGTTCATATGATCTTGGAGATTTTCTGTTTGCCGTATTGGAAAATCTAAGAAAAATGTGTTATTGTATTTGGCGACAGTAAAGACGCACGGATATATTAGACAGATCCTCATTCAGGAATAATATTTTGGGGGTATTAAGTGGTATCAACAAGCCGAGTTCAAATTCCGCCGCAGTAAGTTACTTTTACTTTTGCTCACATTCCCATGGGAAAGGCATGAATCCACCACGTCCTCCACACCCTAACTTTTCAGTGGTAGCCAGCCTAGAAAAGAGATTTTCTCTGCATTCAAAAACGTTGAGACCGCAACAGGACAACCCCCTCGTTCCTTTCCTTAATTCTATGTCAATTCATTGTATAATATTATTAGTATTTAACACTATTTACATTCGGACTAAGGTCATCATGTATTTGTTGTTGTCATCGCAACGTTTCGGTCGTTGTGCCCTCTGTTCTTCATCAGGAGTATATCGATCTGGTAACCTACATGGAATTCTGAACTGAACCTTTTATTTAATCGGGATAATAGCCTACGGGATTGAAGTGCTGGTTTGTGAATTTGCAGACATAGTAAGTGGGTGTTCAATCCCTGTGTCGGGCAGTGTGTACTTGTACGCAGTGGAATTAAATCAAGCGAAAACTGAGCAGTATTAAAAATAAGAACTAAACAAGATATCCCCAGACTGGTAGATCAAATAAAGGTTTCAGTTCGGTATTCCTCATAGGTTACACACATCGGTATATACCTGACGAAGGTCAGAAGGCACAACAGCCGAAACGTTTTATTAACGACAATAAAGATGAGGATAACAGACCGAATGTGAGTACTTTAAATAAGTATAACTCCTCATCCCAGCAATTTAGACAGAAATATTTTTAGTGTATTAACCAGAATCAGCAAGCTGAATATATATTCCGGCGTAGTCTGTTGCGATTATTTTGCACTACAAGCCTTGGGAAAAGCATGAATCACTCTCGTCAGCCACCAGGTTTGGTTCGTTTTGTTTTAGGGCTTATCAGCCTCAATGGCTTATTTAATGCCGACAAGATTTTTATTGATGGTAATATTTTTCCCAAAAATATATTCCTGGTATTTTTTTTCTTTTTAAAAAATGTACTGCATGTAATAATGTATTGCTGATAATAATTTTTCCCAAAAAAGAATGTCTGGTATTAAAACATATTTTTATACTTTCATTGTGTTTTGACCCCTTTTGGGGAGTTAACTATTTGCCCATAACTGGGACCCAGACAGATGCTACCACCACGGGTCATGGTGGACACGGGACACCCGCAATTAAGAGATGGTTCCACGCTCCACAAAAACTTCTGATCAGAGGCCTTGATGTCGGATGTAGTCTATCGTCTTACCCAGGACGCGGATGCAGTTTATCGTCATACCCAGGACGGTGTGTTGATGAATCAGATGGTATCGATGTAATAGCCGGTATATTCGTAGTCACGGCTCTCGTATCTGATCATAGTTGACTGGAAGCAGGAACATCTTTTGTCTTCGTAAACTTAAGATGTGCTACACTATATATCTTATAAAGTACAACAAATAATTTTGTGTCTTTTCTATAAATAATAGTAATTGTCCAGATGAATTCTTCACTATGGTACGTAGACTTTATGAATTTAAACGCATTACTAGATTGGCGGTAAGGTCTCATCAATTTACAATTGAATCCGCTAGATGTAACCGTAATTACTAACTTCTCGCTTGTGGAACTTTTTTCCGGCTCCATGTTCTCGAGCCAAGTTTGATTTTCAAAAATTTAAATGGAGTGTTAATCGTTATCTACTGTCTTCTTGATTACTTTTCTATTTTTCTCGCTCCTTAATAATGCGTCTCTTGTTTTTTTTATTCGTTCAAACACAGTATCCAACCATGCTTTAAAGTGCTTTAAAGAGAGAGAGAGAGTGATAACGACTGTATATATGGAGGGGTGCGTGGCATCTTTCGCATTTTAAGTTTCGTAGTCTGGTAAAAATACTAGCCACCATAGTAGACGGGTATATTCGCATACGATCGGACAACATACGAATTTGCATAAACACACATCGTCAATAATATTTTGCGTCAACAACCACAAGAAAGAAAGAAATGTAAGAAATATTTATCCATTATTTTCAATAAAATTTCTGTCTATCGCGGACAAGTCGATATCTATCTATCATAAACCAGTGGTCATCTATCTATCTATCTATCTATCTATCTATCTATCTATCTATCTATCACAGTCAAGTCGCTAACACAGGTTATCTATCTATCTATCTATTTATCTATCTATCTATCTATCTGTCACAGTCAAGTCGCTATCTAGCCATCTATCACACTCAAGAAGCTATCTATCTATCTACCTATCTATCTATCACAATCAAGTCACTAACACAGGTTATCTATCTATCTATCTATCTATCTGTCTGTCTGTCTGTCACATTGAAGTCGCTATCTAGCCATCTATCACACTCAAGAAGCTATCTGTTTATCTATCTATCACTGTCAAGTCGCTATCACAGTCTATCTATCTCTCTATTACAATCTAGTTATCTATCTGTTTCTCTCTCAATCTATCATATTCTAGTCATTACATATATATATATATATATATATATATATATGTATGTATGTATATATACATATATACATATGTATGTATGTCTGTATGTATATCACAGTTTAGTTTTTTTTTCTATAAATATCTGTCTGTCTGTATCACTCTCTTTTTCTCTCATCTCATATATATATATATATATATATATATATATATATATATATATATATATATATATATATATATATATTTGGTTGGATAGATGTGAGTTTATGACTCTGGGTTTCACGCTTTAGCGATCGTCATATATATATATATATATATGTATGTATATCACATATATATATGTATGTATATCACATATATATATGCATGTATATCACATATATATATATATATATATATGTATGTATCTCACAGTCTATCTACCACAGTCCAGTCGTTATCTATCTATCTATCTATCCATCCTGGGTATGACGATAAACTACATCTGGCAGCAAGTCCTCTCACCGTGAGATTTGAGGTTTTGAGGAGCAGTGATCTAGCTCTTAATTGCTGTTGATCGCAGGTCCACAATGTCCTGGGGTCGCAGCACCTGTTAGGGTGCCAGCTGTTGGCGAATAGTGAACACCCAAACTAGGGTCAAATCACTATGAAAGTGTCAAATAGGTTTTAATAGTAAAAAACCAGTAATATATATTTGAAAAAAATTACTGGCAATACATTTTTGAAAAAACGTTACCAGTAATAGACTTTTGAAAATATTACCAGTAATACATTTTTGGAAAAAACATTATTACCGCAACACATTTGACTCTCGGCAAAAATCCTCTTTACAAAAATACGTCAATGAAACCTGATGTACAAACTGATTTCATACAAAGAATATATATTCTATTCATACGAACCTATCCTAAAATGTTTGCCGTAAAACAAAATAAACCAAACTTATCTATCACACGCCAGTCGCTATCTATCTATCTATCTATCATAGTCTAGTCGTATGTATATATATATATATATATATATATATATATATATATATATATATATATATATATATCACAGTCGAGTCTATATCTAACTGGGATACGTGTGTGTACTTGTATCTCTGTTTGCTCAGTCTTTACAAGTAAATAGATACATATGTATATATATATATATATATATATATATATATATATATATATATATATCTGTATTTGATTTATGTTTACACGGATTAAAGAAATGCTGTTAGAACTTTTAGGTAAGATAACATTTCTTTGATCCGTCGAAAATGTTGTATATATACCTATGTGTTCATGTATACACAAGCACTCACGTCAGTAAAAATGTTTTTTGTTTTTGTCAGATATGCACAAGAAACTTTACATACCTTGCAGGTATATAGTCACTTTCATCTTTTTTATACCTTTGGCAAAACAGAAAACAGAATTCAAATATATATATCTATCATATACATGCATATATATATATATATATATATATATATATATATATATATATATATATATATATATATATATATATATAATTTTTAAATTATATTTTAAATATATGACATATTTACATATAGAAACAATTATATATATATATATATGCAAGAAAATGAAATTGTGTGTGTATATATATATATATATATATATATATATATATATATATATATATATATATATATATATATATATATACACACACACACAATTTCATTTTCTTTCTTCTAAGAAATAAAATGTTGCATGATGAATAAAATTTTCGTTCGTTTCCAAAGAGGTAAAAACATTTTTGCCGACATTTAAAATAATGTGTCTCCATATTTCTGGCATCCATTCTTGTTCTGTTTTTAAAGAAACCGCATTTGATTCAATTTATCAGAAAATGTGGATACACAAATTTATTCATAATTACATATGCATATATACATACGTACATATGACGGTCGTTCAAAAAGTTCAAAGCCTCACAGAGTATTTGGAGGAATGTATTTTTTTTATATACCCCCCTTGACAACCCATCACGGAAGAAGTTTTTTTTTCATCCCAAAATTCCTCCAAAACAAATATGTTCATTGTTTCCAAAATGGCGACCACACAGATGGGATTTGAGTTTAGGAAACTTTAAGACGTCTGATGGAGCTAAGTCTGATGAGCAAGTGGGGTGTGGCATCAATTGAAAGCCAGCGTTGGCTGCTTCACCTCCTGTAACCTGAGCGGTTTGAACGGGCGCATTATCCTGCAGCAAGAGCATATCAGCCCTCAGCTTCACTATGCATGTCAACTTGATTGCTTCCTTCACTTGTCTTAATTCTGATGCATAGTAATGTCCATTAATAGTTTTTTTTTTCCATTTTCCAAGTAGTCTATCGTGAGTATGCCTTCAGAGTAAAAAAGAAACAGTTGCTCTCCTCTGTCCGTTTTGCCTTCAATACGAGGGTTATTCAAAAACTTCTAACCCACACCCAGGAGGAATTCGAGAAACAAAACGGTTTTTCACTATTTTTCAATATAATTTCACTTGATATCAATGCACTTGGACAGAATAATTCTACGATATCTGTTAGCTAAGGATGGATAGTTCATTCCTTGGAAGGATTAGCATTAACAATCACTATAACAGTCATCTAAAAGTTAAAAGAGCATAGTAAACAGAGCTGCAGATTTATTTTGTGCCCACAAAAATGACCCATGCAGTCATTATATATATAGGAAAATTTGTAAAAACCTTCTTTTGTAATTTTCGAATTTATGAATTGTAAATAAATGTGTTGTTCCTTTTGAAATTTTACACAGTGGTCATCTTGTTTCTTAAGTTGTGCCTATTTTCAAAAGTTGCTGTTTCTACCAACTAAGTGCCTGGCACAAGAACATGGAGTTGGTGAAAAAGTAAAATTTTTACAGTTGATCTGCCGTTGGGCAAAAACAGGCAACCAATCAACCAACATACATCTCATTTCCCTTTACTACCTTCTGGAGAAGTTTCTGTATTTTCTTTTTATTGAACAGGAGTAGAGACTTATCACTTGTTTCCAATTTAGGATTGGGTTTCTAGTTCTTTTTAATGCCTTTTCATTCTCTTTCCCTCCCAGTAGCCTCTTGCACCTTATTGGCATTATCACATTGCTTGGGGTGAATAAATTAAAAAAAAGAAAAGTTCGGCTCATTTTAATTAACATGTGAGACAGAATAATTCTACGATATTTGTTAGCTAAGGATGGAGAGTTCATTACTTGGAAGGATTAGCATTAACAATCACTATAACAGTCATCTAAAAGTTAAAAGAGCATAGTAAACAGAGCTGCAGATTTATTTTGTGCCCACAAAAATGACCCATGCAGTCATTATATATCTTCGTCTGTGTGCAATGTCTCTTCAGAATGTGTGTGATAACGGCTCTCCACATGTTCCTGTCCTTTGTAGCTCTTAGTAAATTTTGTCTTCTGACTATATCTCCTAATCCCTGTTCTGCCAACCATTTACAAAAGCTTATTCGGTAGGTTATGTGTTGCTTCCCTCTCTTCGTCTTGCCTTCAATATGAGGGTTGCTCAAAGAATTATATACCTCACCAAGGAGGAATTGGAGAAGAAAGATGGTTTTTCACTATTTTACAATATAGTCCCCCCCTCTTGACATCAATGCTGTTGGTCCAACAATGCATAAGCATTGCAATCCTATCTCAGAAGAAGGAGGCATCCTGATCCCCCAAAAACTCTTTCACAGCATGTATGATCTCATCATTGTTTCCCAAGGGTAGGATTTTAATTTAGGAAACAGGAAGAAGTCTGATGAGGGGATGGGTAGCAATTGAAAGCCACAGTTGGATTCTCCAACTACTGCAACCTGAGCAGTGTGAACAGGTGTGTTATCCTGTAACTAGAGTACACCACACCACTGTTTCCCTCTGCATTTCAACCTGATTGCTTTCTTCAGTTGTCTTAATCCTGATGTATAGTACCGCCATGATTATTCCTTCAAAATCAAAAAATCTGAAGCCATCACCTTGCCAAAAGATGCTGCCTGCATGAACTTCTTTGGGAGTGGAAACCCAGAGTGTTTTCACTGTTTGTTCTGGATCTTTGATTCAAGTTTGAAGTGGTGAAGTCAGGTTTCGTCCTGAGTTACTAATCTTTAGTGGGAATTCTCAGGGTCAGCCTGGAAGCGAGTCAAAAGAATCCTGAAAATTATACCCTTTTCTGCTTCTGCCGTGGCGTCAGCATTCTTGAGACCAATCATGAAGACAGCTTGATCACACTAAATGTCTTAGTTAAAACTGTATGGACCGAACCAGAATCAATACTTATGGACTTACGTATCTGCTGAACAGGAAGACGTCTGTCATCCAAAACTATATCGAAAACGTCTTCATCTTGTTGATCATTGGTTGAGTTTTCTGGACGATCTGATCGAGGGTCATATTCTTTGCTGTCCCCGTCCCACACCTCGGCTAGTGTCTGTACCCTGTTGTAGATACTTTATGACTACTCGGGCTATTGTTTTGTTCATTTTTAGATTTGTCGCACACCTCACACATTTGTATGGGCCTCACCTGCACAGAAATTATCCGAATTATTTTTATATTATTGTTGTATCCTTAAAGAGGTTATAAACAGACAAAAGTGGTACTCGAGTGAAGGAACAACAACACGCGCGTAGATGAAAGAAGAGAGGTTTATTTTAAAAAAGAATACACTACTGAAAGACAGGGAATCGGGTGACAGGCTAGACATTCCCGAAGCAAGCTCCCAGGTATATCCTGTGCTCACCATATATAGCTAAGGATATAGTCAGTTTACATGGGCGATAGTGAGTGTGGATATTTCATTACAATAATTATTATTTTATAAGAAGTGGTTAGCGCTCAAGGAAAATTTAATAATAAAAGAAAACTACGTTAGACTTAAGTGAATCGACAACCTGATACGTTTTAGTAATTTGGATTTGGTTAATAACTCGAGGCTTTTGTATCGATTACGATATGTTTTATCCCTCAATAATAATAAAAAACAACTCCATTATTTCCAACAGTTTTTGAAAAAAGTAGAGGTCCGTGCTTCCCAAGTATTCTTCAACACAAACACAGCTCACTCTCACGCTTTCGGTATTGTCTTCGAATTCTCCGATTCAATCCACCCCATACGAATTCAATAAGAGGGAGATTAGAAGATTGAGGCGACCTTTATCCACTGGGTCATGTGTCCTTGAGGACAAACGTCGTGAATATTGCAACGAAGATGAGGAGAACAGCCGTAACAATGTAAATAGTGTAAATAAATACAATATATATATATATATATATATATATATATATATAGAGAGAGAGAGAGAGAGAGAGAGAGAATATTAGTGGAAAATATACATACATATGCAAAATATATATAAAAAATTCCCATACATGTATATTTTCAGAAAAAAAAATTTTCTAAGAGGAAGGATCCAGGTAGAACTCAATGTCTAGGACAGAGTAAGGATATAATAAAAAGGCTTAAACACTAATATTCCATGGTCATAATTTATTCCATTGGAATCATAAATACGATCCAAATCATCGGACCTACAAATTCAAAATGAAAACAGAAAAAACAACTCCGGAAATCAAAACAGAATTTAGAGAAAGTGTAAGTATGAGGAGGAGGGAGATGAAACCTTAACAGAGAGAATTTTAGATGTGGGGGTGGGGTGGGGGTAATTTAAAAAGAGGAGAGAAAGAAAGTCGACGGATGTCTAATGCATAAAGATACATTTCGTGGTGACATATACACACCATAGACAATTAGGATAGGAGGGGGGGAAGAAAGAGAAGAGGTGGGGGAGAGAGACGGAACGAAGGAAAATAAAATTGTGTTTACTTAAAGGGTCGCTTTGTAATTGAGAAAATTTGACAAATTAATATCGACTACAGGTTAGAAATCAAATATAAATATATAAAGATGAATATAACGATTGTCTAATTTAGCAAGGACCAAATATTTCTATGTTCAAAAACACATACTAATACACAC